ATAGGCGCAGCAGTCACATGACGTGTGCTCCGAACATTATTATCAGCAGCAGCAGCAGCAGATGATGGAGCATCTATCTGCGGACTGTGTGTGGATGTGAACCCCGCTCTGCAGGGAGGAGGACGGACACAGAGCCGGCAGCTCAGGTAAGACCCGGATAGACAGAATAAAACACTCAGGGCAGAAGACAAGAGTCCCCCTGCTCTCTGCCGCAGCGGGACCACGGCTCCATATGTCCGGAGAATGCAGACAAAGACCGGGAAGTCCCGTCTGTCCGCACCGGCAGAGACGAGCTGAAACCCCGCAGAGAGCTGAGGCAGAGCCGGCAGTAAGGAGGCGGTGGTAGTCATGTATCGTGTGTGTTTTTACTGAGGTGGACATGTTATTTATCCGGAGCTCTGATGCTGCTCACACAGGATCAAAACAAAGAAGAAGATGTGACCTGTCGTCACACAGTCAGCTGTAATGTCTCCGAACATGTATTATAACTGCTGCAATAACACTGTTCTGTGTCTGCTCTGATAACAACACATCTACATCTGTGGTCTTTGTTTCGTTACTGCGGTGGATGGGCCGCTCCCTTGAATGTCCTCCTGTTTATCCTCCACTTGTGTGTTTTTGTCATTGAGAAAAAACCGACTTGACTTTTCACTACAACATTTGGAGACAAAGAAAGAGAAATACAAATCATTTCCACCACGGCATAATTAAGACTTTATTTTGAAAGTAATAGGCGGAAGTGACAAAACAATACCGTGCCTTTCTTTATAGTGACAGTTTATATTATTATTATTGATTTTGTTGTTGTTGTTGTTAATCCAACATCATATCAGCTGACCCAGCATTTAAAGTGAACTATACATGGAGGTAGATGAATCCATAGCTTCCTTATGAAACCTCTCACTGGAGTGGGCAGGACTCTAGTTTCAGAATCACATGAACAGTTTTCACTTGACATGTTTACCTGTTTGCAGTCTGCAGCTTCTCCCACACTGTGGTGGTGAGCAGTGAAGACATTGGGTGTCAGATGACAAGCAGCCACACGTAGAAATGGTCTTATTTCACTCTCTCTCACACACACACGCACACACACACACGCACACACACACACATCCGGAAAAACACTACATGCTCACACACAAGCTGAGAAGGAAAAAGCTACAGGGTTCCAACCAACAATTGACAATTTTATTATTTAATTATCGTTCAATCTGCTGATTAGTCTCTATATCAATCGATTTATTGTTTGGTCTGTAAATTTTGAGAAAAAAGTCAAAGAAAGCAACAACTCCAAAGGTATTCCATGAAATAAACAGCACATCTGCTTGAAAAAGTAAATCTGTGATCCATTAACTGATTAAAAGTAAAGATAAATAATTGGCTTCGAGTCGATCTCAGAACATCACAGCACAGCAGTCGACCTCTTCTCAGCATCAGTCAATGATTTACTCTGCATTACACTCTACTTCCCTTTTGTCTCTCGTGTTTATTTTTGGCCTCTTGTGAGTCTGCATTAGAGAAACCTCAGAGAGAGAGAGGTGGGGGTCAAAGGTAGTGGCCAGATTAAAATCACTGACATCACAATTGCATGAAGCGGTTCCTAGACGCATGGCTGCTCCAGCACTAGAAGTGTTACACGGTTTACTGAGATGAGTAGTGTTTGATGGGTTACACAGGCTGATGCACACAAGGCAGGCAAAAAGCTGCAGTACAGGGAGTTCCCTCTGTTTGTATATGCGCTTCTGTTGACAAATGAGATTCAAGTAATTGGGCGAGTTTAGCCCCAGCACACAAGCACCAGCCCATGATGTCAGTCCGGTTTATACTAATGTTATTAACTTGTAAATTAAACATTCCACACCTACATTCCACGGAGCACTGCCTCTGCTCGTATGCCCCCTCTCCGGCCTGCATATAGTTGGCACTGTTCTCTGACATGAGGCCATGTTCACTTATATTTGTCTTTTTCACCATAAGTCATGGCAGGAGAGGCACCTGATCTGACTGACACAACAGTGCCTTCACTGGTGAGACCTCTCACAGGACAAAGTTTGTTTTTTGAGTTTGACGCACTGCTTTGTTTTGTGTACCAGTTGGAAGGTTTTGTCTCAGTTTTAGCCAGTCAAACCAGATTTGTCGCTTGGCTGGTTTATTTTTCTGTCATTTGCTTTGGGGCATGGAGAGTGTTGACTCAGCTCAAGAGTATATTCTTAAACTAGAACTGAGTCCACACCTCTGCCAAGGCCCAACAGTTCCCTAAGTATGCCTGATTTATTTTAATCAAGATCTCTGCACTATTCCCTGGGGGAATATATTGAATGACTCCCTATCTCACAAACAATGTTTGATTCATAAGAGATAAAAAGATACTGCTCTGACTCACTTTCTCTACCGCACCAACACTGACTTTCAAATGTCTTGAACAGGTTGTTCCAGAGATTTTCAGAAAGGGACCAGGGCCTTAGTGTCCACAGCAGGTCTGTCCTCTCCCCCGCTGAGACGACGGCACCATGGCCGACCATGAGGAATCCATGAAGATGAATTCCCACTCCTCCCATCTTGCGGAGCCCCCCAAAGAGAGCATGCAGCTGAAGAAGGAGATCTCGCTGCTAAATGGTGTCAGCCTCATCGTGGGAAACATGATTGGCTCTGGCATCTTCGTCTCCCCCAAGGGCGTGCTGTTCTACAGCGCTTCATACGGGCTGTCCCTGGTCATCTGGGTGATCGGAGGCCTGTTTTCTGTGGTGGGGGCCCTCTGCTACGCCGAGCTGGGCACCACCATCACCAAATCAGGAGCATCCTATGCATACATCCTGGAGTCGTTTGGCGGCTTCCTTGCGTTTATTCGCTTGTGGACATCGTTGTTGATCATTGAGCCCACCAGTCAGGCGGTCATCGCCATTACGTTTGCAAACTACCTGGTGCAGCCGCTCTTCCCGACATGTGAGCCCCCGTACGTAGGGTCCAGACTCATCGCTGCAGCGTGCGTGTGTGAGTACGTGTGATTTACTCTGATCCACTGCTGTTAGCTGATCTACCTGATCCCACCAAACTCTTACTGTCTCCACAGGCCTACTGACATTCATCAACTCTGCCTATGTGAAGTGGGGCACCCGCGTTCAGGACATCTTCACCTACGCTAAGGTGGCGGCCCTCATCGTCATCATCATTACGGGCATCGTCAAGCTGTGTCAGGGTGTGTGTGTGTGGTGTCACTATAGCACTTGTCCATTCATGTTGCCACTCATGCAGTGTCCAGTATGATGTCCTCTCCGCAGATTAATCCTGATGTTTCTCACCCTCCTGCACAACGTTCTGTTGTGTGGAGAATTAAAAAGAATTTTCAGCCCAGGTAGAAAATTAAAGGAATGGTTTAGGATCACTTAATGCCTCATTTTAAATATCTACTGGAATTAACTGTATTCAGTCCTGGTCATCATAGTACTAGTCATAACATGTTACTGATGTGCTGTGAGGGTGATGAGGACTCAACTACAGCAGCAGTGAATTGTCATGTTAATGTTTCATCATCTTTTTCTTTGCATGGATGCAATAACAACATCACTTACTGTTCTTTTAATTGTTGTGTCTGTGTCTTAGGTTACACAACCAACTTTGAGTCCGCCTTTCAGGGATCCTCGACAGATCCCGGTAACATTGCACTGGCGCTCTACTCCGCCCTCTTCTCTTACTCCGGCTGGGACACCCTCAACTTTGTTACAGAAGAGATCAAAAACCCAGAAAGGTGATTTATCCTCCTTTTTCTCTTTTTACTTAACTCGTATCAGTTTTGTTATGGAGGTTTTCTGGAAGCTGCTGAAAGGAGAACTCAGGCAGCAGCTGATGTCTTATGCAGAAGTTTTAATGTAGACTTGATGCATCAAGGAGACCAGATGATGGAACAATACACAAACTCTAACAGAGAAAAAAAAAGAAGAAAGTCCCTAAGCATAGACACTACAATGTGCTGTTGGTTGGTTCTTTATCTATTACCTGACCTTGGGCCATGCTTGGAGAGAAGAATTAAAATTTGATACTGATCTGGTGTCCTGTCATTGCAGGAACCTACCATTGGCGATCGCCATCTCCATGCCCATTGTCACCATCATCTACATCCTCACCAATGTGGCCTATTACGCTGTTCTGGATGTTAGTGCTATACTGGCGAGTGACGCAGTTGCAGTGGTGAGGAGACTTAACTTTGACCACTTTGTGTGTGCATGTGTGAGCTGAAACTAGTCAACCCAATTTATGTGTCTGGTTCAGACGTTTGCAGATCACACTCTCGGTGTGATGAGCTGGATCATCCCCATCGCTGTGGCTCTTTCCTGCTATGGAGGCCTCAACGCCTCCATTATCGCCGCATCCAGGTAGAACACACACACACTGTGTCTCAGAGGTTCATCTAAAACGACTATTGTTTTGTCTAGGGCATATTTTCTGTTTTAATTTCAGTTTATTGTGTCCAGGTTGTTCTTTGTGGGCTCCCGCGAGGGTCACCTTCCAAACACTCTGTCCATGATCCACATCCAGAGATTCACTCCGATCCCTGCTCTCGCCTTCAATGTATGAACATGGATCAGTTACGTATATAGTTATGTCCTATACATAGTATATATATTTATTTATAGGATCATTGACAAGTGCATCACAGTTTTTCTCCCTCTGTCCTCTGTCCAGTGCGTCATGTCACTGATCTACCTGACAGTGGAGGACGTCTTCCAACTCATCAACTACTACAGCTTCAGCTACTGGTTCTTCATGGGCTTATCAATTGCCGGCCAGATCTACCTCCGCTGGAAGGAGCCCGACAGACCCAGACCTCTCAAGGTGAGAGCAGCATCCAGCCATTCATATAATTATCTAGGTTCTAATAGGAGAGAATGTGCAGGATTGGAACTGATCATAGTGGAGATGTTGAATACTGTGGAAATGGATGCGGAAATGTCTAGAACTGCAACATAAACATCTCTACTTCATATTGATGCACCCTCTTCATTCATCTCTCCGCAGCTGACTTTACTGTACCCGGTGTTGTTCTGTATGTGCTCCATCTTCCTGGTGGCAGTGCCTCTTTACAGCGACACCATCAACTCTCTGATTGGCATCACCATTGCCCTGTCAGGAGTTCCCGTCTACTTCCTGGGCGTCTACTTACCGGAGTCCAAGCGACCAGTTGTCTTCACCAAGCTGCTGCGTGAGTTTCACTACACAACGAAGGAATGATAATTCATATATGAATGATAATATTAATGTATTTGCTCTCTCTCTGTCATTCTGCATGTGCAGGTTCTGTGACGCACTTTACCCAGTACACCTGCTACTGCGTGCTCACAGAGATGGACAAAAGTGAATAGCATCCAGTGTGTTTTTTTAAGACTTTACCCAGCAGCCTCTGCTGCCTCAGAGCTGACAGTCACCAGGGGGACCTGACAAGGGATTCTGTTGCGGAAAAAGGATTTATGACTACGATTGATTATTTTTTTGAACTGAACACCACACTGAGGCGCTCCGATTTCACTGACTTGTTTACAACACTGAAAATGCTGCCACAGACGCACATGTTCACTCACAGCTTTATTTCCTGGAAGGAGCTGCAAGGATCTCAACGTTCAGTTCACACAGTTCTCTGTGTCGTATTTCATGTTGCGACTACTGTAAGATACAGTTTCATTTCTTCATCACACTATTTGATGACTTACTGTGACTTTCATTATGAATTATCTGCCTTCCTGGTTTACAGGTAATAATAATATAAATGCTGTGTGCCTGTGAGATTCTACAGGTCTGTGCACATGACCACAGCAACCTCATAATGATGCAAGGAGAGTTTATTCAGTGGATTTAGGTTGTTGTAATTGAAGGATATTGTGAGAGGTATATGTGAATGTTCCCACCTGAGGATTTAAGTATTTTAAATGGTCTGTTCACTTCCTAAACGACCTAAGGGAAGAAAATGTTTTGTCTGCTGCTAACTGAAGATGTTGGATCATCATGCTAATGTCGTTGCTTTCTTGTCAGTTTAGTGTCATTTTTACCTCCACCAAAGGTTTAAGCTTTCATCTGCATTTGCTTGTCAGTTAGCAAAATTACGCATATCCTTCTGGACAGATTTCCATCAAATCTTGGTGGAGGGGTGGGGGAGGACCTCAGGAAAAGGCCATTCAATTTTGGATTAGATCCCAGAATTGTTAATGTAGCAAGATAGAGCTAAACCTTCTCTGTAGTTGCTATATGCTGAAAGTATGCTTTCTACCATCTGATACATTTAATGACCTGTGTCAGAGTTTAAAGTTTGATTAAAGGCTCAGTCTGCAGAATCCACTCAGTAAACCAGTTCATTTTAATTATTTAACATGTGCTTACATTTATCTGATTTTATTTGACTGTAACATTAGACACATTTAAGCTTGTGCTGTAGTAGAGGAAATTGGAGACAGTTTCCTGCAGTGTAGTTTTATGGATTGTGTCAATGAACGTTTAATTTCAATCAAACACCATCTGCTCCTCAGTGCGTCCTGTCTGCTGCTGCTGCGGACAGGTCAGCGGAGCTTCAACTAGATGCTGGATAAGAGAGGAATGTTTCGAAGATGAGAATGGCTGATTCTAACATTTCAGAGTCACAATTTAAGCAAGTTGGAACATTTCAGTCTAGATTTAGTCCACATTGACCTCTCAATGGCCTACCTCAAAATAAAGAAAAAGGCATTACCTCGGGACAGTAACTCAACAGATCGAATTTTATCGAATTTTAACATTTCACTATTTGTTCCTCCACATGCTAGACATTTCATTTAAATAAAATATGTACATCACTTCAGTTGTAAATCAGTCTCTTAAATTATTAGAGATGAATTTAACCTCCAGGGAGATGTTTTGAGTGGATTTGTGTTTACATCATGCAGGAAAATTAGTTGACACTGACATGTTTTATGTTTATTTTGAAAGCTTTCCTTTTATACACATCTACATATTTACAAAAGTGAAAGTCAACAAGTATCTGTACTTCAGCGGTAAATTAAGAACTAAACAAACTCACACACCCACAACAAATATGGTGCACCACGCTTTCCACATTAGGCAAAAAATCTAACACGCACAGTTATACGTACACACACTACCATGCGAAAAAAAATGCAAACACTCTAAATTGCAACCACACATTGCCCAAGACACGTCGCTCACAGAATTGTTAACGGCACAAAGCATACGAGGCATATCACACTAATGTGCAACATTTCTAACACACATCCACTTTGAACAAACACACACGCAAACTTCACTCCACCACAGTTAAAAAAAAAAAGACGCTGGACCTTTTGGAAATAACAGCAACCCCTTCAGAATCTGTGTAGTAAAGAGAGGAGTCTGATATACTGTATGTGATGTGTGTAATTTGTATTTTAGCTTTAGCTTTGATGCTCAGTTACACTTTAATACTTTGGCACATGAAACTGAACTCTTTGAAAATATAACATGTATTAAAAGGATGTTTTAGTTAATTTTACCAGAAATTAGGAACTTAATAATAAAATTTGATGAGTGCCCCACATGATGGGAGACAGGATTTTTTCCTGGTCTGTTTCCATCGTATTCTGTGCCACTCTAGCATTTGTGTTTCTGTCCGCTCTCATCTACACAGACTCTCTTTGGAGTATGGCATTATGTGTGGAGAGGGCTTTGGGAAGATCCACTGACAGGTGCGGGTTAGGGGTTAGATCAATCAGAATTATTTTGGTCTCCATCATCATCCTCATCATCCTCACGGCCATCTTCACCATGGTTGCCCAGCTCATGCAGCACTTCCCTCTGGTAGCGCTCCCACCCCCTCAGGCTGTATGAGTGGTCCTCCTCCGGGTAGCCTGCATACATGAGACAAACGTCAGCCAAAAAGTGACAGGAAGGGCTGAGCTGAGTTCTTAAGGTAATTAATGCACAAGCAAATAACGTAGCTGTAGCATTACTTATGCTAATGGGGCTTCTGACTACACAGGCTTTGGTAATTAGGGGCGTAAAGAAAACCTACAGACTTAAATAAATATGCAATATGGACAAAAGTATTTCCAGTGAAGGGAAATCTTAATGCTTCAGTTGGCCAAGACATTTTGGACAATTCTATGCTTCCAACTTTCAGGGAACAGTTTGGAGAAGGACCTTTTCTGTTCCAGCATGACTCTGCCCCAGGGCACAAAGCAAGGTCCATAAAGGCATGGTTGGGTGAGTTTGGTGTGGAAGAACTTGAGCAAAAAGTCTGAGATTAAGTCTTCCAAGAAGAACGTTAGCTGCAAACTGTGCAAAGCTGATTTCACAATCAAGAGAACAGCGGTGGCCGAGAGAACTAAAGAATGAATGAAGAGAGGGAGCGCCAACACAAAGCAGTGAAACGATACTAAAAGCAATTTTCTGGTTCTTTCACAGGAGCTATGTTCTCAAGCACAAAGACAACCGGCTGAAGATGTTGCATCGCTAAGTCGGTAAATACCGACATGAATTCTGCTTAGTGGAGCTGGTCTGCTGTGAGTCACAAACACATCGCTCTGTATCAGACACAAGCAGGACCAGTACTATTAATGTGCGGGTTAAGTGTGATTATCCACAATTAACTTAACAGAAATCTGTGATGTCATTATAAATAGTCACACTATCTCTGTGACGAGTAAGAATTTTCCTTTAAGATTTATATGACAGCATTCTTAATATTCAAAACAATACCCTTGATTCTGTTTTAACTACTCAAAACTCTAATTTTCAATACATGTAATTACATAGGAAGATTCAAACTACTAATTCACATGCACGTTATTTCATTATAGACATCTTCCATTCAGTTGAATTATAATACAGTATAATCTTTCATTCCTGTGTCCGATAAACACAATTTATTCTGTCTATTCATAAATACAACACCGTACTGACTAGTTAAATATATATTTAGATGAATTTAAGACATTTTGAACTTGGATTATGACAAGTTAGAATACAATTGTAGGTATCTGAAACTGAAATTAGTTTTTATTAAATTGCAGATGTCTGTAACACCTGTAAACACAAAATTGTACTAGAAAAACTGCTGGAAAGATTAAAATGTAGCTTTTTATCAGATTAATCGCAAATATTAATCGATTATCAAAATAATCGTTAGCTGCGGCCCTACCATAAAGTGTACATTAAAAGCACTTTCAGATATGCACTCCACATGATCTCTAGACTTTCTACGGAGGGGCTGTATGTGACAGCACAAAGCCTCCTAGTAAAAACTGTATGTTAAAACCAGGCAGCCTAAAACAAATGTGTCAGGATGAAAAAGAGAGGACATAAATGCAGCAGAAAGAAACCGAGGTGTCAACTTAGAGAAGCGAGGGGATTGAGGGCTTTTGGTCATATGGGCCAACACTAGTGTCGATGTGATGTAAACAAAAACATGTGATCTCCACAGTGGAATTATTCTTATGTCCTGTGTCTGAGTGGAGAATCTCCTGCTACACTGTTCATTAGGGATGGAACGGTATATGAAAACCGTCCCAACCGCTCGGTTCGACTGTCTCGGTTCAATTCGCGTGTGTTGCGTTCGGTTTATGCGCTGCTCCTTTTTCTCATAGGCGAAGCGTATACACTCCAGAACAGAAGGTGGCGGTACTACGCCTAAAGCCAACCACCAGTAGTAAACAACAAGAAGAAGCGAAGCAGCGTAGCCGGGTGTAGCAGATAGAAATAGAGTATGGGTCAGTTGTTGTGGAGAATTGTGTGGGTATGGCGAGTGGGAAAGAGCCAGAGTTAGAAGATGTGCCAGCAGCACTTTCTAGGTCTGCTGTGTGGGACCACTGTGCATTTAGAGTGACCTACGACGACGGCGGTAAGAAAGTTGTCGACAAAAGTGCGACAGTGTGCAAGCATTGTGCAACACGTGTAGTTTACGCTAACAGCAACACGACCAACATGTCAGCTCACCTGCGGAGACATCATCCCAGTGAGACAATTGGCAGCGTAAAGCCTAGTTTATGCTTCTGTGTCACGTCTACGCCGTACCTACGCCGTAGGTCGTTGAGCATTCGAAGTTCTGCGTCGAGGGAACGCGTTGCTCTGCAATTCACCGCCATGCCGCTAGGGGGTGTAGCGGTGTGTTTGTGTGGTTATAGCCGAATCCTCGCTTTTTCTTCCGTAAAGTAAACAACAGTAAACAATGGTGACCGAGGTGGAGCAGCTGTTTTTGTTGTTGGAGCTCATCAAAAATGAAGAACAAATGCTTATATTGCAAATGTTGAAGCGCAAGCTACAAAGAAAACGTTTGCGGAGGTGGTTTTTACGACGAGGAAGAAACACCGGAAAAGCAACTGCCGGAACTTACGTTCTGAGCGGACCAATCACAGCGCTTACGGTCCGCGTCGACGTCCGCGTAGTTAGGATTTTTGGGAGGCGCACGTCAGGCTACGGCGTAGGGGTCTGCGTCTACGGCGTAGCTACGCCGTAGCTACGGCGTCGACGTGACGCAGAAGCATAAACTAGGCTTAAGGAGGAGAGGGAGAGAGTCGACAGGACAACTTCTACTCCCCTCAGCTTTTAAACAGCCATAAGGTGACGACATTATTTTTGAGTTAATTTCAAACAAAGGGACGTAAGTCTAGTGTTGATAGAGCCTATGCTTCTTTGTTAAAGATACTTTACAATGCACGATACAAAACTTTGTTTGCCAAATAAATGAAGCACATGTTGGAACTAGCAATGTCTCCTGTCTTGCAGTGCCAGAATCTCACCTACGTTTACCTAAGACTGTCACAATGATGTATCAAATGTCAGAGAAAGTATTCATGTCTGAAAATCAGAGAATGAATACATACCACCATAGCGCTCCTCTCTGTCACTGTCTGCGTCACTTTCCTCATCAGGGTAGTCGTTCCTCCAGTTGCCTTCCTCATTTTCATCATCCTCATCTTCATACACCTCCTCTTCATGAACCACAAGGTCAGGCACCTGGGAGAGATAACAACTACTTTGAAAGCCTGTTTTTTTTTTTTTTACTCATTATTGATTATTGTTTTTTCTTTGAGAAATAAAATAAAGCCTGTTTCATTTTAAGCTTAAGCCCCTTAACTCTGAAATCTGAGTCACCTTCTGAACAGTAATATGTGATCTTAAACATTGTTGTGTTGGGAATTTTTGGGCAAAAAATACCATGAAGACAGAAATGCATGGACAAACAAGTTTACAATGGGACTGATTGTCCTGAAGTCCTAATTCAGAGCCACTGCTCAGAGTTAATAAAATAAAGAAATATATGTCAGAAGGTATCAACAGAACTTACAGCTTGGCCTGTAATGCCACCTGACTTTTGCTGATTCATCCAAATACAAATTTCACAGTTAATACAGCTATGAACTCAGACCCCTCGTTTCCCCCTCGTGTACTCTCTAATTCACCCATGTCTTCATTCACTCACTCCGATTTCAGCATTCATTCATCTGTCTGTCCATCCATCCACACACACCAGTTCTCCCTCATCGGCGTAGGCCCTGACAGACAGGATGTCCTGAATCCACCCTGGTGTGGTTGTTTCCTGGTAGTAAAGGTCGTAGACATATTCATCGTCCTGCCCACGCTGATCACCATCCAGCCTCTCTCCAGATATGCACAGACGCTCACGCAGCATCTTTGTGCTGTTACACAGGATCACTTCTGGGTCAGAGCACGGCTTCAGTAAGATGGAGGGAAAAATATAGTATATTACTGTTGAGACACAACTTCCATATTAGAAATTTTTCCCAATGCCTTACATAATATTGATCAGATAAATCGAGGCAGCTAAAGCTAGAGATGGGTACTTGAACTCTGATATTAAAGCTAAAATTAGATTTAATTCAAAAACCAATGTGTTGTGCCAGATTATTATACCACCCAATATGTTGTGTTGTGTAAATCGAATGGTAATAAGTAACCAAAAGAGTCAAATAAATGTCGTGAAGTAAAAAGAACAACATTTCCTAAAATTGAAATACTCAAATAAGGTGTATGGGTCATTGACAAATAAAGCTTCTTAAAAGTTATTTTTATTCACAGATGTACCAAAAATTGCACCAGTGTAACCAATGAAAACTCTGTGTCTGGAGCTCTGACTATACATTTTGGTAATTGATACAGTCAAAACACACAAAACACCCATCTCTAGTCAGCTACAACAACTTTACTTACCTTTCCAGAAGATTTGCCCTGCTCCTCTACATCTTCATGTTCGAGATCGACCACCTGAATTTCACAAGGACCCAAACATTTGTCCTGCTTTTTCCCAGACTCCCCTGCACTCTCTGAAGCATCTGTCTGGGGGCTTTGCTGATCAGCTGGACTTGAAAGGCCTGTGCGGTGGCTGGAAAGTATTCTGTAGCGTTCCTCCCTCCGGGTGCTCCACTTAGTGCTTCGTAGGTCCCCCATTATTCGTTTAGAGCTGGTGGCCGAGGGGCGCAGTGCGTGCGCCACTCGAGGCCTAGCCAGAGCCTGTCGGACCCGCGTCTGAACGGGAGCATCCTGGTGACGAGAAGACAATGAATATCTACCATTCAGAGAATAAAAATGACCATAAATTAATATCAAAAGGATTTAGAAAGAATTGGTTGAAGTTTCGCTGTGATTGAGAGAATCACTATTTTTGGAGTGCCCATTTCAGCTGAAAATCTTATATCAAAACAGCTACATGTGATTGCTTTTAGTTCTCTTCTTGCCTGCAGAGGGATATTACTCCTTTGGTAGTCCATTGCACCCCCTTCATCAGCATCCCTATTAGAAGACATGGTGACGATCCTCACACTAAAACAAATTTCTCATCTGTGGATCAGCCCAAAAATGGCATTCTACCTGGTGGCTCCTCTTTCTTAATTTGACCAATTAACAGCGCCTCCTATGATTATGACCACTTGTGTGTCTTAAATCCGATTAGACCACTCACAGATTGTGTGAACTTGAATAAGTTCAACTCCGAGATGTTACTTCAAGTTCATTTGTACGTGGTAGTACACTGAGGTTAGACTTCTTTTCCCTATTTAATAATGTATTTATTTACTTATTTTATTAGTATTAWAAAAAAAAATTTCTGTACTTATCTTGCAATTGACATTTTCATTGAGAACTGGGTGGGACAGGGTGAGGACAAAAATCTAGATATGGATGCACAACTATATACTATATATATATATGCGTCTGAGCGCTATTTTATTGCTTCTTCTAATTCTATAAGTAGATAACCTCTGTGTGTTTTCCTTTAGATTTGGGTTCCGGATGAAGTCGGATCATTTTCGAGGCCTTTAAACACGTCACAGCTACGTTTAACACAAACAAAATGAGCTAACTACAGCACAGGCTAACACGAATTAATGCTCGCTAACAGGGTGAATGGTATGCTAACAACAACTAGCATAGGTGGCGCGTTGTTTTCTCCGACGACAGCACAAAGTTAGACACAGCTTGACGCGGACCAGTCCATTTCCTTACAAAACGCACGGTTATATCGAAGTGCCGACAAAAGCGTATTTAGCTTCAGCTACCTAGTAACTAGTGTCTCCAGCAGCTTGACGTTAGCACGTAGCGCTGCCAGCTAACACGGTCGGCAGCGGCGGGCCTCTCACCTGTGTCGCTACGGTTGCCACGAGTTTGAAGACCGAGTTTTCCACCTCGGCCTCGTTGGGCTCAGGGACCGGTTCGCTGGAGCTCGGGGACGTTTCCGGACGGATCCGTTTGCACGCCAGCAACAAAGCGTCCGCGGGGTCGGTCCCTCGTTTTCTCTTGACTCGCAGGATGGTCGTGTTTGGGTCCATGTTGTTCCTCTGTCTGCTCCGTCTGCTGGTCAGAGAGGGGGAGGAGGCGAGAGCGCTCACTCAGCCTTTATTTCCCGATACCACAAATGTCACAGCACAGCGCAGCCGTTGGAAATAAAGTGCCCTGAGATAACTTGTCCTATCTTTGATTTACTGACAACAATACTAATAATAACAATGCTATTGTTGTTATTATTATGAATTATCTATCTATTTCTATTCACTCATTCAGTCTGAGCTTTGTCTGTCAGTGATGACCTAATGTTTTATTTGACCTTGTAAAGTTATTAATTATAATGCTCAGACAAAATATTTGTGATGAATAAATGAATGTACAAATATTTGCATTCAAACAGTTTCTCCTGCAAACTGATCATTATTGTTCTGTCTTAAAGGAAGTCCCGCCCACAGAGCAGGTACAGTAAGTCTAATTAAATCGACCAGCAGCCAACTGAGAAAGTGCTGACTGGCCAGTCAGAGATCCTTTTAGATCTTAAAGGGATAGTTTACCAAAAAATGAAAATTCCCTCATTATCTACTCACCATTATACTGATGGAGGGGTGGGTGAAGTGTTTGAGTCCACAAAACACTTAAGGAGTTTAGGAATCCATTTTAAATGTATGATATAAATGAGTAGATTAAAGGTACAGTGTGAAATTGAAATTGCATGTTGCAGCTGAACTCCCCTCACCTCACCTTCTGTGGTAGCCTTTAGTTGTCATAAAAACTCAAAAGGTGTTTAGTTTGTCCAGTCTGGACTAATGTAAAAAACATGGCGGCCTCCGTAGAGAGGGTCCCCTCGATGTAAATATAAAGTATTTAAATATAAAGGTTATTTTCTGAGGTAAAGAAATCTACAATTCATACAATTTAGATGAAATGAACTAGTGAATACATCATGAGGATTATTCTACATTAAATGTCTGCCAATAGATCCCTTTCACCTAAATCTTACACACTGGACCTTTAAGTTATAACTTGAAGACAATATAATCAATAACACATAATCAAACATAACTGCTGTTTTGCACATTCAATAACCAGGGCTTATTTCAAAGAGCCAAATTTAAGTCCACACTTTTGATAAACTGTTACAGCCATCAACCTAAAACCTAAAACCTTTTTTTCTTACACTTTTACTGTCAGTTTAAGAAAAATGTGTAATACAATAGCATGACAAAACAAATTATAAATCACATCAAAAGAGTAAGAGGGCCCAAATAACCAAGGACAATAATTAAGTACTTTGATGGTGTGATTTACTAAAAGCTAAATCTATACACATATTGCACATGAAGAGTTGATCCATCAGAAAACTGTTAAAGTTGGATTTACAGTGTAATGGAAAAAATGGGCCCAGCTGTTCAACGAAAATTAACTTTGTGATCGTCTATGTCTTCTGAACTATTAGCTGAGACTCACCCTCTGTCCAACAGGCTCGGCCGTCTTTATTTCATAGTCATTTTGGCAGTGAATGACACATCTAGTTGGTCTTGCTGAACAGCTTTAGCTGCATTTTGTTATACACACACACACCCCCCCCACACACACACACACCACACAATGACACTTTGAAGGAAGAGGTGGGGCCACACTGAATGGAGAAGTCACAACCCCCCAGTGTCATTAGAAGGCTCTTGGCGTGACAGCTGCAGTCAATACAAGATTCTGCTTCTACGAAGAACATCTGAAATTTGTTTCCTGCTGGTGAGTTCACTTTTTAACTCTGTATACATCAGCAGTTCTAGCATGTCCACATGGGACAGCTCAGACAAATCGACATGTCTGCTATAAATAACCTGTGCTAACAGTCTAATAGTTCAACATTTTAAGAATTCAACACTTCTGTACTGACGTTAAGTCAAATCCATTATTTAGGCCCCAGTGTGTTCATCATGGCAGCTGTCACCTGTGTGCTGTGGGAAGACAACTTTCTGTGCTCCATCTGCCTGGATGTGTTCACGGCTCCCGTCACCATACAGTGTGGACACAACTTCTGCAAAGCCTGCATCATTGAAAACTGGAGAGTCAATAGAAAACGCCAATGCCCCGTCTGCAAAAAGTTTTGTGACACCAGAAGTGAGATGCACGTCAATACCTTCATATCTGAGATGGTGGCTCAGCTAAGGCAGTCGGCCGTGAAGCATTCTTTGGAAGTTGTCCAAGCAGGTGAGGTTCCCTGTGATATCTGCGCCGGGACCAAGCTGAAGGCTCTCAAGTCCTGCCTGGTGTGTCTGTCCTCGTATTGCGAGACTCACCTGGAGCGACATCGGACAGTGTCAGGGCTGAAGAAACATAAGCTTATTGAGCCTCTGGTCAACCTTGGAGGTAGAATGTGTACAAAGCATGATGAACTCATGGAGCTGTTCTGCAAGACAGACCAGATGTGTGTGTGTCACCTTTGTAATGAGCTTAACCACAAGTCACACCACGTTGTAACCCTGAGTGAGGAATGTGAAGAAGAGAAGACTGAGCTGGCGAGGACGGAGGCTGAATTTCAGCGCATGATCGAGGAGAGGCGGCTGAAGGTGCAGGAGCTCAGAGGGTCAGTGCAGCTTAGCAAAGAAGCTGCAGACAAAGCAGCAGCAGATTGTATACGTGTCTTCACTGTCCTGAAGCAGCTTTTGGAGACGGATCTGTCCAAGGTCACTGAAGAGATCAAGAGGAAACAGGAAATTACAGCAAATTACACCAAGGGCCTCATGGAAGAGCTGGATCAGGAGATCTCCGAGCTGACAAGGAGAAACAGCGAGGTTAAGCAGCTCTCACACTCTGACGATCCCGTCCACCTCCTCCAGAACTCCTCATCCCTGAGGGCCTTCCCACCCACTAAAGACTGGGAGAAAGTCAGTCTCCATCAGCCATCATTTGAGGGGGCCGTAGCCAGAGCCGTGGCACGCTTCAAGGAGACTCTCAGTAGAGACACGATGGATCTGCTTCAGGCTGAACTGAAGAGGGTGCAGCAGTACGCGGTGGACGTGACCCTCGACCCTAACACGGCGCATCCCACACTCATCCTGTCTGCTGATGTGAAACAAGTGAATCACAGAGATGTGGACATGACTCTTCCAGACCACCCGGACAGATTCTCTACTTGCATCCTCGTCTTGGAGAGGCAGAGTTTCTCCTCTGGCAGGTTTTACTATGAAGTTGAGGTTAAAGGGAAGGCTAAGTGGGATTTGGGAGTGGCCAGTGTGTTGGCAAACAGGAAAGGACAAGTCACATCAGGCCCAGAAGCCGGCTTCTGGACCCTGCAGTTAAGGAATGGAAATGAGTACACAGCTCTTGCCGACCCTGACATCTTGCTCTCGCTGAAATCGCGACCTCTGAGGGTGGGTGTGTTTGTAGATTATGAGGAGGGTGTGGTCTCGTTTCATGACGTTGACGCTGCAGATATTATCTACTCCTTCACTGGCTGCGCCTTCAACGACAAACTCTGCCCTTTCTTTAGTCCTTGCTTCAATGACGGTGGTGTAAACTCTGCCTGTCTCAGAATCTCTGCTGTTCAGAAAAGCTGATTGGATCAAGAGTCATTGGTTACCAGACACAGCTCCCCGCCCAAAACACACACACACACACACACACACACACACACACTCATCATCTCATTTGCTTTGACTGTAAACTAAATGTTATGGAAAGCTATCCATGGATATTGTGGCAATAATCATCCTCACAGTTTAACATTGTTTTAATTGTTTCGGCCAAATTAATGTTGGGTGATGAGTTGCTTCATCTATTTATCTGTTACTTTTACTTTTCGCAGACTTGATGTGTAGATATGCAATTTATCATAACATTTTTTGTGCTAAATAAATGTAGGATTACGATTATTGCTTAACAGAGATAGAATCACAGAAGTAATGCACGTAGCATCCCTCACAATCCTTTTTCACGTTGTTATCAACTTGTTATTAATTGTTTTAGTCGTAATAGATCATTGTAATTTAAATCTCTCTATTGTTGTGTATTTAGTATTTAGTTTTTTGTGCCAGGGTTTATGTTACAGTGTAAACACATTTATAAGTCGAACAAAATGCTATTTATTTGCCTTAATATGATGTTGTTTTAATGCTTTATCATTGAATATTGTAGTTTGTTGTTACTGTCATTTCCATGGTTTGATGGATGAATAAATTAATTCTGGGCTCTTGGATATCCAGAAGATGGTGCTCATCTGCCACTGTTACATCCAGCTGACATCTTGTTTCTTCTATCCACTGTTTTTTTGTATAATGCAGCAAGTAGAACCTGTGCAGGTTTCTTTTGGGGGGTCCAACATAGGCCAGTGCCCCTGTAGCATTGAGCCTAGACCCCCCTGTGGCCCCCCCTCCTACTGAAGACTATAATAATAATAAAATGATTGCTCTCTGATACGAAAGGTGGAATAGATGTGTGTGGCTCAATATTCTAGTCCAGAGATGTCAAACTCAAGGTAAAAATATCATATCTATCTTAAATAGGACGCAGAGGTGTTTGTGAAAAAAAAAGCTTCATGGGCCGAGCTAGGGTGAGCAATGCCCGGCTACATGCACACAGAGCGAGTGCTCCTCTCCGCCGAGTATTTGATGATATTAACTAACACGCTTTTCTCTGGGATGAAGATGAACAAAGGAGTTGTCTCACTGATGCACACCTTCACTCCATCTTGAGAATTTCCACAGAACCTAACTCCAAACATTAATGAACTGGGTAAAAAAATAAAAGAAGAATGAAGCCGACCTAAATATGTTTTCTTTTTGCACTTTATCCAATATCCTGTCCATCCTGTTTAATAAATGTTGACTATGTTTGGCCCTCTCAGGTCCACCATAACTGATGAGAGACTAAGCAAAAGTATCAAGTCTAGGAGGGCAAATGCTTTAAATCTTGACTCATTTGTTGATCGTTTTGCCAAAATCACAAAAACCGCATAATATAGTTGCTCTCATTCTACAAATTCTCATTTTCAATATATTAATTTTCAAAAATTCTAAATTTAACAAATAACAAAGTATTATGTTGTGTTTTTTGTGCGCTATCACTTCATAAAGCACTTTGAGACCTTGTTTAGATAAGTGCTATACAAATAAAGTTATTATTGTTTTTATTATTTATATAGGCTACTGAACTAAAAATGGTGAAAGCTTGAACATTGTCTTTGTCTCTTTTGTCCTGGGTTCAATGTTGTCCCCTCTGACAAAACAACTGGCCCCAGCCTGGCCCCCTCAGTAAAATCGGTGAAGAACCACCACTAAGTAGAACAGGATTAACTGTAACCCTGATTGCAAAGCAACATTTATATATTTGATGGAGAAAAGGAAGTTTAAAGAATGAAAAATTATAAAAAAGCATGGGATTACAGATAAATTGAGCCATGCATTTTGGGTCAGCAGTACAGTTTGGAAGATTTGCCTTGATTTAAATCACTGGTTATCAGAGGTATTGGAGATTAACTTAAATTTCAATCAATCAATTTGTAAATTTCAATATCAAAACAGCGAGGGATCCATGGAGTTGATTTATTTTATTCAATTATATTGAAAAAAATTATATTAAAGTAGAAACCCCAGACCCTCCTCTATTGTTACCCTGGAAGAAAAAAATGTGTCTATGTTTATTATTTAAAGGTTAAGTGTGTAAGAATTAGGTGAAAGAGATCTATTGGCAGATAGTGAATATAAAATAATCCTAGTGATGTTTTCACTAGTGTGTAATAACCTAAATTGCAGTAATTGTTGTTTTCTTTACCCGAGAATGGGCCGTTTATATTTAAATACTTTATATTTACATCAGGGGTGGGGCATCTCTACGGAGACAACTGAAGCTACCACAGGTTCTCTTTCATGTTTGGAAGGGGAGGGTGAGGGGGATTCAGCTGCAACATGCAACTTCACCACTAGCTGTCAATAAGTCTATCTCTGAAGCTTTAAATGAAGACAACAGCCATGGAAAAGATATAAATTATGATTTTTTGATGTATCAATGATACAAATATACATTTGACATCATGTTGGGAAAAGTATCACATGTATAACATTAGAGAAAATGGCTTTTAAATTTAAACTGCAGAGGTTGTTGGTTTTGTTTTGTGTGTTTTTGCCATGAGAAGGTGAAGAACTATTTAAAAAAAAAGTTGAATACAAAACACTTACCTCTCTAAACTAATGACCAAATCGAGCAATACATGATTTACATTCAACATTCATGCAAAAATATGAAGCAAATCAGGGTTTGTACACAAGTAACATGTGCCTGATGTGACCTTTGACATTTATCTGGTGGAGATTCAAAAGAAACAGATAATAGCTGCTTTCCTACAGCAAAGTCATTTGACTGAAATGGATCAGCATTGCAGCTTTGGTGAACACTGAATAGCAAACTGTCACAACAATGCAAAGCTTTTAGGTGTGCCAGCAACCAAGATAAGCAACTGCATTTCCATAACAAAACGGCCTAGTAAAAATTCACACACAATGCACAGTCAGAACAACGTGTTTCCTTCACACTGTCCACTTTGTTCATTTCTTTTATGATTATTATTTAGAGTCTGGAGGTCAGTAAACACTTACTATAGGCAATGGATGATACAGTAAATAAATGGTTTGTATTTATATAGAGCTTTTCTAGTCTTGATGATCACTCAGAGTGCTTTACACTACTGTTTGCCATTCATTCATTCACACAGTGCATCTATAAGCAGCACATTGTTTTTGTTCTATGGGGCAATTTTGGGTTCAGCATCTTGCCCAAGGAAGTAAGATGGGGGAGACTGGGGATTGAACTGCCGACCTTCTGGTTGGAGGACGACCGCTGTACCCCTCAGTCTTTGCCGCACATGTATGCAAATATATCAGATCAGTTATTAAGAGTGGACATTTTCAGAGAGGACGGGTGAGTCGTTGATGAGTTGTTGTCAGATCGAAATTTGCAAGTCAAAGCCAGGGACCACAGGAACATAAATACACCTGAGACAGGAAAATAAAGGCTGTGAATTCATATGGCAAATACAACACAGTACATACTGCTGTACTTTATATATATACTGATGATCATGTTCATACTGACCCTGCAGGGAGTTAAGTATTGTGAACAGGTAGATCCCAGGGAGAGAGATGTAGGTGGTGCTCGCTAAGGCCCAGGGTATCCCCAGCACACAGCTGAGGCCCAGCACTGTGACACAGTCCTTCCATAACCTGTTCGCTGTTTTCACCTCCCTGTAGCCATTGCTGCTGCCAGCGCCTCCACCACCTCCTCTAATTTGCCACAGCTTAAACACCACCAGCCCCAGCATGCATGCATTGCACAGTATGACCACACATGGAAATGCCACAGTTGTGATGTAGCTGACCACAAGGCTCTGTGTGAACTCGCTACTCACCCAGCATCTGTCAGTTATCACAAAAAAGAGAGAGAATTCAAAATTCAAAATTTAGAAAAGGCACAGAACAAAGCAGAGGATACATGTAACTGAAGTTCAGTTATGTAGAATCAAAGTAAACTGTGTGGTTGACGTTTAAAATCAATCACAAGGGAGTGCTTACATCTGTGCTGTTGAATTGTGGTTTTTGGCATCGCTCAGGTTCAGACTGTATTTGCCATAAACACCAAAACTTCCACAAACTACTGCAATCAGTGTAGGCAGACCTGCAGACAGACAAGAAAAACTCATAATATTAATTAATTGAATACAAAGACCAAAATAAGGTTTACGATTCAAACTCTGTGATATACAGTACTTAAAAAGTCTTGAGATCTGTATTGTTTACAGCTACTGCCGGCCCCTTCGCCTACATCCATACTGCACTGTTTTCAGTGTTTTGGTTCTGAATCACTTTTAATCCCTGTCTATACTAACATACCTAAAAACGTACATCCGGTGACCACTTACATGCACGGTGTAAACAGGAAGCATTTGATTGTAGAATTCTCGCAGATTGCTCCAATAACTCATGTCAACAATGAAAATACAGAACTTAACTACACAACTATTAGAAAAGACAACTTGGTCAGCAACTCTTCTAATTGATTATCCATGTTACGTTCCACACTGGTTCTTTGAGAAGGAGGTCATGTGATAGGAACCTGCATTGTGTTTTCTGTCATTGATTCTAAACATCTCAGACTAAAACACGTCTGGCAGTGTAGTAGTAGTTTGGACAGTTCACAAGCCAATGAGTGATTCAATGATTCGGCTGCAGATTAAACCTGACGTTATCGTAATAATCCTTAAACTTAAGTGGTTACATTTCACCACTCACCCCATCCCACCAAGCTGAGTTTGAGCAGGTATCTCCTGACGTAGATGTTGAAGACTTGAATGAGGAGGAGGTAAAGGTGGAATCCCTCCAGAGACATCCAGCAGAAGGTCGCCAGCAGGGACCAGTGCAAAAAGAGGCCCAGGGAGAAACACACCCAGCCTTCCTCCTTCTCGTCGAGCAGCCATACCCAGAAGCAGCTCAGCAGGAAGCTGAGGTGGAGGCAGAGCAGTGCCCCTGCCAGATGCATGTGCACACTGATGACCTTCTCTGGACGCCGCCGTCTGAAAGACAAACAGCATAATCCCATGAGCCCAGTGGACTTCTATAAACTTGCCATCTTGGGCAAAAAAGATGTTAGTCATACACTTTTAATGCTAAATTAGATTTTCTGTTGAGTCATTGCAGATTGACTGACCACTTAACCACACTTAACACTGTTCCTGATTCTCTCTTCTGGGGCACAGAATACATGTCTTGCAAAATGTGGTTGTCCAGCCTCACAAAAAGAGATACAAAGCACTTGTAGCTGTTTGACACACTTTTTTGACACATTTCTATTAGTTTTGTTGTGGAGAGGATGCATGCAGATGGGGGGTTTCATATGTTGTTTAACCACCAGGCAAGCGGTGATTCATTTCAAATTTTTTGGTTTCATGAACAGAAACTAGTGATGAGAGGGGTCCTGCTATTTGAAACGTGAATATCTCAAAGTGGTCCCACAAAAGCTACACTCAGGCATCCGCTATGTGACTATGTGCATGCAGCTGCCAATTTTAGTTAAATATAAGTAGCGGTGCATATTTCCTTTGGGCTGTTTTAAAAGAGAACATGCACAGTTTCCATTCCCATGTGGTTAACGGTTACTAATAAATCTCTTTAATCTAAAACAACCGTCTAACATTTAACCTTGCATCCATCACATGTTAGAATCATAATCATTTCATGTCTGAAAGCTGCTAATTTGTCTGCCCTATGGTTTGACCTCTATAGGGGAAGAAAATACTGGCAGCACAGGTAACATTCATGTCTCACTTCAGTTCCTTGACAAATAGGATGGAAGATGTCACCTCTGTTGATCATGTTATTACAGGCATTTATGATAATTTATTACAATCTACCCTGTTGAAATTATAATATGAGAATAAGACACAAAAAAACTCACTGTAGACATATATAGATGATCAGGCTCATGACTGTGAAGACAACGGAGAGTGCTGATCCAATGTAGGTGATGTAGCTAAGAGTCGTAGAATGAGTTTCATCCACTGATAATACAGGGTTCTGGAACAAAGAAAATATATCAAAAATCGGGAGGAGGTCGCATTAGTAGATTTGGTTTTGAACAGCTGCACTACTCTTCAAAGGCTTTTTAATCTACACATTATAACTGGAGTAGATAAGATAAACACCCCAGGGAAATTCACTTGTTGCAAGTACATATACTGTATATGGATATATAGACAGGTATGGTATACAAAAATTATAATTATTTGTATTTAATGTGCAAGAGGACACTAATTTTCATCAAAAATAGTGCAAGTAATGGTGAGTAGTTATATATGGAAAAAACAGTGCAGCATTTATTTTACATTCTGAATGAAACACATAGTTTATAGCAGTTAGAGCTTGAAGCATGCATGACAATTCAAAGAAAATAAGTTGTTACTTTACCACTAGCACAGCAAAGAAACTGAGGTGGTTGCAGCTGCAAATAACCTCGGCACCAATGTCACTGGTATAACAGCCATCTGTGATCCAGTTACCTAAACCACACACACACACACACACACACACACACACATACACACATGCACAATTGTAATTTGTAAATTGTCTATTTAAGAGCACAAATTCTGATGACACACCATTCACCTGTTCCATCATCTAACTCCTGCCAAAACACACAAGTCCGGTTCTCCATCTGAAACATATTCAAAAGTCAAACTAGACCGGAGGGATTTTATTGCCAATATTAGCTCTTGTTGCTTTATCATTTGACCATTTTACCTGTTTGCTCTGTGTGAAGGTTAGTTTAACGGGTTGAGGCAGGTTTCTGACAGACTGTCTCCCTGCCTTCACTGCCAGCACTAACCCTCCCATAACAGTGCCTTGCATGTGTTCACGCTGGTTGGGTATGAACGCTCCCCTTGTTGCTTTTGTACGGTGAGGACCCACCTGCAATGACAAGACAGATGTGGCACAGGGGGTACAGGGCATTATGGTTAATTCAATCAGCTTCCAATACATGAAGATGAATTTCAACAATTCAAGAGTAATGACTTTTCATCAATGTCATGGTACATAGCTGCTGATTGGAGTGCACAGCTCACGGAAATCAATGCATATCAGCATGATGGGAAAGTGTTACCTTGTATAATCATACTTAAAGTAGAAGCCTATTTGACTGCATAAAAACATTAAAGGTAGGGTTGGTATTTAAAACAGTTTTTTTAATCTTATTTGTTGAAATCCTCTTCACGTCTCTACAGCCATCAAACTAACAGAAAAATCGGCTTCTGGCTGTTTTCGGACAGTGTGTGCATTCCTGTGTTTTGGGGGTGTAGCTTTGACGAGGGGGCAGATGGGAGGGGGTGGGATATCAGTTGCATACATTCAGAGTGTATCCTGCTTTTGCTAGCTTTTCCAGGATTACCAACCCTAGCTTCACAGTCCTTTTCCATATCCATCTGATTTTAAAGGTTTTTCTAAATACACCTCGGGGCAATTAAGAAAGTATTGTATACCTTTGTAGCTTCAGGGCTACTGACCGTAAAGTAAGTGCTGTTGAGCACTGTGGCAACCAGCACCACCTCCATCTCAGATTCATTTCCTCTGCTTCTCTGAAGAGCTGAGGATGGTATGTGAACCCTGTGCTTGGTAGTGGGACTCACTTCTGCCTAAAAGTCACAAGTAAACACAAAAGCACACAAATAATGCTTAAAATCCATTTGATTGAATTTGTTGATGTGATCACTTAAATTGCTCTATTTTATGCACGTTAGAAGAAAACACATTAGTTACTACTTCTTTTTTTTTACTTTTTCTTATTTGTTAGTGGTTAAAACATAAAAGATACATTGACCTCCAATTAAAAAAAACAATTGTGAACGAGACGAGACAAGAGCCGGGGGGGCCGGTCACATGGCCTCACCTCTATAGATGAGTTCACCAACTGAAGAATGAAGTCTTGCATAAAATGGCGTCCTTGAAAACAGGTTGAAATTCTTCTCTCATAACACCTACCAACACATATGTCACATTATTTAGCAATCATGAAGTTATAAAGTAGTAAATACTGATGCTACTACCTTGAAGTTTTTTTAATTTTTTTCAATTGGATACACAAGTAGAGATGCAAAATTCTTATCCATTGAGTCATTTATGTCTATCGTTTATCATTTATGTCTTTGGGTGAAAATCTGCCTGACGCAATGTTGCAAAAGCAAACCAGTGCTCATAATTAAACTCACTGGAATCTGCCCTGACATCAACCCGAGCTAAAGGGGGATCAAACCAGTTACTTGTAAGTCTTAGTTAGCACTGGAAAAGACAGTCATCCATACACAGCTCCTGGAGAAGACAGTGAAATTCCCAGAGCTGGTGGTTTTGTGGACAACACAGCGACTGTAGTCACTTCAGCCAGTGGTCTTTCAATCCTCTTTTCCAGAGACCGGCTAATACTTGATGATTCGCCAGCGAAAATGAATTAATGTCAATGTTTGTGATCGGTAGAGATCAGTGTGTCACTGTGCGTGCATGAAGTTGGGTGTGGAGCTGAAAAAAAATGACACCGCTAAGTTGTCTTTAACTCATATACAACATAACTGTTGAGTAAAAATCTTTGACAATGTCGATCAGAAGCTATTATAAAACACTGATATATACAGAGGAAGACATGTGCGTTCAGCCAACAGCCTTTTCATTTACAACAATATGGTAAATTATGATAATTGTGTCCAAGCTACTCCAGCATTCATTAGAAGGCAAAGGACAATCACATGTATTCACTTGTGTAGGAGAAAGATATGTCACCCTTCAAAAAGAGAAGCCTGAGACCTACAGCAGCGGCTCAGGCTGTTTTATGAGTTACCTGGTCCAGGGGGTACTTTGATCATTTTGATAGCACTCTCTGAGGACGTCTTTACACCAATCTGACAGACACAAACATAGTCAATAATACTACAATATATGGAAAGTTGAATTAGATAAGAGTTGCTCCAGTGAAAAGATGAGGATCAATTATTGTTTGATTTGACAATCCCCGACCTTAAAAGTTTTGAATGGTATTTAACACACAAGCACACAACCATAAGACACACACTATAATCACAACCAGGAACCAGGTGAAAATACTTACTGGCAGCTTGAGCTGTAGAAAGCCAAGAAAGAGTGACAAGAAAAATCCAAGTCATGTCTGCCACATATGATGATACTGTCCAGGCACAGCGTTGGACTGCTGACAGAACATCTGCATCATATGGTTATTACCACGACGGAGGAGGAGGAAATGTCATGGGAACAGGAAATGATTCATATCAGATGCTGTTAACCATTCTACGAACATCTTCTGTAATCTAATATTTGTGAGCTGCTGATGTTAAGGTAATTCATTTTATCTGCCTATTAAAGTATTGTGGATTTATAGATAAGTAGTAGATCAACATGAAAATCTCCACTACTTGCAGTTGCTCATATCTGTATTGTAAAACAACAAAATCCTCAACATTAGAATCTCCCTTGAGAAAGAGGAAGTTTTTCATACGCAACATAAAAGAAACAGACCAGACTTGAAGTATCAACATTATCCTGCTAGGGAAGCGAAACTCAGAACTGTCATTGACTTTTCACAGACACGGTCTCTTGTCCTTTCTGGGGCATAGTGCCACAGGCTGTGTGTTTGGGAAGTGCGAGAGCTTGGCGAAGGTCAAAGCCTTCATTCCCTTGACGTCACAGATATGAGACTGCGTAAGCAGGATATACTGTCTCCATAACTAGAAAATACATTTGATTATTTAGGAACAAGCACACCCATAGATTAAAAGATCTGTTGGGGTTTAAAGTGTGACTGCAGGAAAGCAGACTTCAGAATCTGAGAGAGCATCATGCACAGATGTTGTATGGATGAATTCTGATTTTCTCCTTGGCCAAGCTTCAATTTGTGAATTCTTCTGTGGGGATTTTAATGCAAATAAAATTCAGCAGAATCAACATCAAGACACACATAAGGGTAGCTTTTCACTCTCTCATACATATTTTACTACACATTTCTACTATGTGATTTCGTTTGATTAAAACTTTTCAGTCTCACATATTAATTATTGAAAACTTTATTCAACTACACAATAATTTAAAGGTTCAGTGTCACAATTTAGTGATACCTAGTGTTGAAGTTGCATGTTGCAGCTGAACACCCCTCATGTCACCCTCATATTCCAAACATGACAGAGAACCTGTGATGTCCTTCAGTTGTCAATAAAACTCAAAAGGTGTTTAGTTTGTCCAGTCTGGACTACTGTAAAAAACATGGCAGCCTTCGTAGAGAGGACCCCCCCTGATGTAATGAAATATAGAGGGCCTTTTCTACGGTAGAGAAAACAACAATTCATACAATTTAGATAAAACACATTAGTAAAAAAACTATTTCTACCGATAGATTCTCTTCACCCAAATCACACTGAACCTTTAAAGTAGGTTAATAGAGGAAACATTTTTTTTTTATACGGTGCTTTACAAGTAAGTATAAACCAAATAAAGGAAACACAGTCAGTAAGGTCAGGGCTGGATTAAAAGTAAGTAAATAAATGATATTAAAAAGTTGAAAGTGAATTCAGAACCCAACTCCTGAGAAAGCACATCTATCAAAATGTGTCTCTACAATAGATTTGAAAGAGGATGAGGAGTTAGCCAGACAGGGAGTGGTACGCTCCTGTCTAGGGGTGTAGGAGCGCAGCATAAAAGTATAAGTAAAAGTAAAAGCCAGACAACTGATATTCAGTATCTAGGTAATTTACTACTCACACAAAGCAGTGAAACTTGACAGTAAACTGAAAACGATTGTTACTCAGGGTGAACCCAGATCAAAACAACAAACCAAAGACTCTATCTCCTCAAAGAAAAATAAACCATAGACATTGAATAGACCTAACTCTCTAAAACACAGCAAAACAGGAGAAAAATGACAAACAAACCAAGGCAGCTCAACCCTTCATGCTATTTACAAACGAACAATGAATGGGATTAATTACAATATATACATAAATATTACTAAATGAACCTAGAGTACGGGACCTAACAAACACTCACAAAGCAATCGTAATCACAAAGGTTTGAAAACCGAGCACAGAACTTAGGCACTGCTGTCAAGTTGCTGTCAAGTTGCTGTCATCGGACGGCTGGAAACCCCAGACACGTTTAACTGCAGGAAGTTGCAAAAGGGAACCAACCAGCAGCGGGCAGCCCCCAGGATGAATCGGCCCATCCAGCCGCTCTGGAGGTTTCTTGAGAAGTCTGGTTATTTATGGGAACTCTAAATGACAGTGATCCACACAAGAGGAAATGAATGCATGAACAACAATTTCTTTTGTGTTTGTGTTGAATGTGAATATTTAAGGTGAGGTCATTATCAAACATGACACCAAGGTTTTGCTTTAAAGTGTGGGTAGTGAGTGTGTCACAGTCATTACCTTAGTCTTGTCAATATCTAACTGCAAGAAATGTTGAGCCTTCCAGCATTTAAAGTCTGAACACCAACTTGATCAGAGTTATTCAGAAGAGATACAAATACAGTTGTGTGTCATCTGCATGTGAATGGAAGCTTACATCGTGCTTGTGAATTACAGGACTAACATATAATGTAAGCAGGAGAGGTCCAATGACAGAAGGTTACATAGGAGGGGACTATAAGGGAAGTTACAATCACAGGGTTTTATCATCTAGACATAAGCCGGTGATGAAAGGGGATTTAATCAGAAGTCATCCTGTCCTCCATTTCTCGCTTCCTCTGCTTCTTGGCTGACAGACAGATCCATAAGAAGATACAGACACCTTGACAAAGAGACACAAAAGGTGGGTTTAAATGCTGCTTCAAGACAAGCTTAACAGGCCCATATATTCCTGATTCAGTGGGATAGCATGAGACAAATCAAAAGCCCTCAGAGACAAACGCCATTCAAACCAAACAATACAGACACAAACTGACCTTGTGTGGAGTTCAGGATGCAGAACAGGTAGAGGATGGGGTAGTTGACGTATCCTGAGCCCAGAAAGGCGAGGCCCCAGGTGGTCCCCATCAGGCAGGTGAGACCCAGCACAGTGAGGCCACTCTTGTAGGACACACTCATCTTATCTGGGTCTTTCCGTGCATCTCCCTCAGTCCCTGTTCCAAGCTTCGAGGTGCTGCTTAACATTTGCTGCATCTTACAGATCCTTGAGGCCACTGATATCAGTATGCCAGAGTTGAAGATGAATATGAGGGTGAAATACACCAGGTTCACAGAGTAGAAGAAGGAGTCATCTGTGATCCAGCAGCTGTGGGGAAAACAGGTAACCCACAGTTCATTTTATAGTCTCATTATATGGCAGAGAAGACAGATCTGTGGGTATACAGGGGAACATTCATATAATCCAGTTACTATCTTCAACAGTTTTATGAAATGATTCAACAGTAGCCATATAGTTTATTACTTTTCCTTGTAACAATGGTGTAATTTCATAATTTAAATCCTATAATTTGAATGTCACAGGCATCAGCTTTATTTAATCAATATAAACTAGACTTGATGTAACCACATCTAGCTATAATACATTTGCAACCGTTTTCATATTAAATTGTATACAATACCTACCATATGTACTGTATGTGTGCAGTGTTTTTTATATGGTATACAGCACATTTCATATAAATCAGAACATATCTGTGATATTTGTGTTGAAATAATAAGGTGTTTGTCATATGCAGAAAAAACATATGAAATAAATTATACATATAAACGTATGTTTAAAAAAATAATGCAAAATATGTATTCAATGGCCTGATTTTGTTATATGTTTTGGATCCATTTATCAATCAAAAAAAGAATATGAATGTTGTCTTGCCTAAAACAATTTACAATTTACTCACATGGCATTAGTTTGGTTTGTATCAGCCATGCTCATTTGTGTAACTCCATAAAACTGTTTGACGTCCTTCACTGCCAAAGAGACTGCCACAATTACACCAGGGATGCCTGAGAATTACACACACACACACACACACACACATACACACACACACACATACACACACACACACACACACAAACTTGCTATTTTGGAGTTTGTTGCGGAATAAAACAAAATCCCAAAATATTGTTAAGGCAATAACAGAAAAATAAAGTAAACATAAGCTGGTGTCATCGATTGACATCAATGAAGTGGACATTAACTTAATAAAGATAAGTTGCATTATATACTGTGCTGTGCCTATAGAAAGAAAGTAGGAACTGTTGGTAACACTTTATATTCGGGAACACATATCAACCATTAACTAGCTGCTTATTAGCATGGATATTAGAGGCATATCAGCTCTTTATTAGTCATTATAAAGCACTTATTAAAGCCTTATTCTTAATGACCTTATTCTGCAACTACTCCATTGATTAACAGTTTTTCCTTAATAACCTCCTAATTACTGCTTATTGATGGTAAGTAAGGAAGTTGTTGTACATGAATTACAATCCAGTGCTTGGATATGTTCACTTTGTGTGTTCCGTAATTTAAAGTGTTACTGAACTGTTTAATTTTAAATGAAATATCCATTCTATACTTGGCAAGCTATGGGGGTCTACTGAGGGAAGAACTCTTTACTGGTATGCCAGTAATATTGTCCATGTCCTCACATACCATCCATAACTTTACTCATGGTACAAAATGCATTCTTTCACACAGCCACTGTAAGCTACTAGAAACAATGTGATGAACAGAAACACTAATGACCATGTATCTGGTATGATATGAAGCACACATTTTACTTAAACACACCAGAGCATGCTGGGAAGCTTAATTCAGCCACTCTGAAAAACTGAGTAAGTTTTATTGAAAGAAACAAGTATGCAGGAAAACTATGAGAAAACTCAATATTAGATATCATGGATCTTTTTACCCTGCTCTAATGTTCAGAAATAATATATATGGAGGATCATTAAATGTACATCGGTACATCTTATCTTATTTTATAAAACAAGGCATTGAAGAACCAACAATAAAATTAAATCTAACCCCTGGTTCATGCAGCTCTCTGTGAAACAGAGACTGAAAGTTCCTCATAAAAAGTTTCCTTTATTACTGTGTCATGTGTCTTGCAATTCCTGTCAGCGTTCTCAGATAAACTGTTGTCACAATGCTGTCATCACAGCACATCAACATAGGTGCTCTAGCAATACTCACCCCATCCAACTAGGGACAGCTTGACCAGGTAGTGTTTGTAGTAGGTGTTAAACACCTTTATTAGCAGGAGATAGAGGTGAAGTGCCTCGATAGCCATCCAGGTGAAACAGCAGAGCAAGGAGTAATGCATAAAAGCTGCAACAAACACACACACCCAGTCTGGCTCCACCCTGGCCCCCCACTCAGTCAGCAGGAAGGTTGAATTGAGCAGAAATAAGGCCCCGCTCAGAGATACATGAATAGAAATGGAATAATCCATTTTGTTTCTGGGGAAGAGAGAGAAGTAGATCAGAAGTATATCTACATATCTACAGGAGCAGGTTAGATGGTGGCCTCTGATAATCAGACAGGATTCTGGATGTGTCATTTCTTGATATGTAAAAGCAGTGCTGCGATGTAAAATACAAATAAAGCTGAATCCTCAGAGAATGTGACTGTTGCATTTTAGACCATTTTAATCTTCTGTTTTATGTTATAGATATTTAAATAAAACCACTCCTTACAACTATGGAGAGAATAAAGGCCTCATGCAGAACCTGTATTATGGTGTTCTTAATAAAGTGCTCTGGGAATGTGTATTTACATGAACTGAAAAGAATAGACCTACCGACTAAAGACATACAACAGGATGGACAAAGCAGCGAAGAAGGCTGACAGGCTACAGCCTATGTAACTGATGTATGACAGAATTTTCCAGTGGACCTCTGCAAGTTGTTTTGTTCTTGTCTAAAGACAAAAATTGGGAAGTGTCTGCAAGTTACAGGCTAACATTTAGAACCAGGTCAGAGATGTAAGATTTATATACCAGGAACGTCAAATTAAGTGTGTCTCTTACCAGTAGGACGGCAAAAGCTGTTGTATGGTTGCAGCTGCAAATAATGTCACTTTGGTTGTTGCTGTCAGTCTGACATCCATCTGTTTTCCAGAGCCAAGCTGGGCACATGAAAAATACACTTAGCTAATTAGGCCCACGTCTGTTGGTACGCAACATAATCCCAGTAAAGGGCATAAAAATCCACCTTTTGTCATTTAAACTATATTTATTAAACCTCTCAGTGTAAATGTTATTTTCTTTTTGGCATCAGGACTATTTGATTCCACATGCAAATATATCTATGATGTATAAAACTGCACACACATGCACCAAAAGTCACCTACAAAAGCCATTCATCACATATATATATGTATATATAGGATTTTTTGTATCTTCTTTAAAGTGTAGGTGAGGTCATAAATAGTGACTAAAATACAATTTCAGTGCTTTAATGTGTATTCATAAGCAAAAAGTATCATACACCTACCGTGTTCATCAAAATAGTGACACAGTAAGACATCATTCTGTAAAAATACAAACATGTAGAGCTGCTTTGAAGTTCACGTTCTCTATAAAGACCATACATATTACACCATTCAACGAGTTTACCCAACAAGTTTGACAAAATACTGAAAAATCCCAGAGATACAGTGCTGGGATCAAATCCTGTGAAACAGTTTTTGTCTTTTCATTTCTTTTAAAAGAGAAATTCTTCTGTGCTACGCTAGTAAGTTTGAACCAAGTTACAAAAACACCACTTAAGCTTCAGCAATGTTAAAATAAAGTCAGTCTTATTTGTTAAGTTCATATTTTCAAAGTCTGTACGTTGAGCAACTACGTGTCCTTAGGCCCACAGTTAACCATCAGACAATAAATCAAACATAAACTCATAGACTTACATTCACGACTTTGTGTGTAGCAACTCTGAACGTCATCTTGATTGGCACTTTTAGATTATATAAGCGTCGTCCACCCAGTAGTTCAATCCTGAGAACCATTGATGAGATATTCTCCTGTTTAAACTAATGAGGAGTAAACACAGCATTCATATACAGGTATATGTTGGTATAATATTTATGGATTGAAAGATAATTTTTTCCGGATGGATTAATGCACGATTAAAAAAGAACATATATATACTTTGAACATGTCCTGTTGCATGTAGCTGACCAAACCAATAATCCTCTCCTCATCTGGGATGGATTGTAGGGAATACACAGGCAGCAAAATCTCAGAGACAGATGACTCAGTCTGTGGCAGCAGCTAAAGGTGGATATGAGAAGAAGATGATGTAATGTAACAAAGACATTAACGCATTCGCCAAATTCATGCTATCATAATCAGGATCGTTCCCTTTACACTCGTCAGCGACACCTTGATCACAACTTGCGTACCTGTGGAACTTCGACCCGGATCCAGCTGGTTCCAGAGGAGTTGAGGCCAGCCACACTGATCTTCAACACATCCAGGAAAAGGGCCTTCAGGTTGTAAGTCATGCTGCCCTCAGTCTCAAACTGGCATGCACCCATGATGTTGTGGATTATATGTTTCTCCGCACTGCAACCAAGAATGAATGAATGATAGAGAGATAAGCTGTTTTCAGACATGACCTATGGAGGAATGGGTCCAGACTTTCTCCTCAACCGGAGGTTCTTTGCTCAGATGGGTTCACAACAGCAACAAATCCTCCACAGTATTCACCCCTCTGGTGAATCTCAATCTTAAGGTATTTAAATGTTAAGATATTTTAATCTGGACCACATAGTTTGTTCACACGCTGGCCATTTTCCTCTGACTTCATGCTCAGGGATGCTCAAATGCTGTTATGAACAGAATAATGTTGTTCTGCCATGGTCCAGGTTTAAATGTTATGTAAACATAGGGAATCTGACAAACTTGTTTCAGTTAACAGGTCCCCAACTGATCAGCAACTGCAAAGACAATCCTGCTGAGGTTCTTATGCTGTGTTCTCACATGAGCCCACTCTGACATTCTTGGTCTGGCTGGAGTCTCTCCCTCACACAATCGCATGTCTGAAAGCAGCTTTACAATCAAAGAAATTAGTGCAAGATTTGCAGTGATGTTTCAATATAAACACAGCCCTCGTGTGAATAATGTTAGCTTTTTGTGTTAACACAACTTATACACTTAGATCTCAGCAGGACAACATTAAACTGCTTCCCAGATTCCCACTCTGAACGTGATGTCAGAGGAAAATGGTGTAAATATGGTTTATTGCTGTCCCTAGAACCATGACTCTCGCATGGCTAAAAATAAAACAGAAAACGATATGAATGAATGACACAGTTTACTCTTTTCAGCAGCACACTTACTTTAAGAAGGCCTTCTTAACGTCCATGTCATTGTTGAAGAGCTGTTCACAGGAATCTCTGATGTATAAAAGTTGCATCATTTGCCTCTGGTAGGAGCCGTTTCTATTTAGAACCTTAATCATTGGCAAGATGTTGCTGGCCGTGCACAAGTATAAAGTACAATTGCTGTCTGTGAAGAAACACAAGATTCACATATTAGATGCAGACATAAGATAACAGATTTCCATCAATATGAATCAACTGCTGTATCTCTGAACACTTTCTGATGCTATGCGTGTGTGCGTGTGCGTGTTTTTGCACCTCATACTGTAGGTGGCAGTGGTGCCCACCCTTTAACACCTCTATGCAGAGTCAGCAGTCTTCTCTAGAGGAAGTTTACTTACACTGTTGTATGGTATAATCAACCTTGGTAGGGGATTCTGTCACTGTGGCGTCCAAGCAAACAGACGATCCACTGAACCATGTCATGTTGTTGAACGTGCATCGAAAGATGCAGGGCGATCCATCCGCACCCGCCTTGCATTTCACCTCACTGGACCGGTTATCAACGATGGAACCGTTTGTTACACTGACGCTCATGTTGTAAACCTTTGTAATGTTGATACATACTAAACAGAACAGAAAGACAACAACAGAACACAAATACAACACAGGAAATAACTTGTCTTGTTCTTAATGATTTAGTGGCTACTTCAATGTGTGGAAAAAATTAGATGCCCATACACACGTGTTCAAGCATTTTCAGATTCATAATACATCAACTGAGACCATGATTAACAGAAAGATACACTACTTATTATGAAAATGTTAAAACATTCTTCAAGAAAGCACTTAGTTTGGACTGTATGCACTGTTACTTATCAGAAATCAATAAAAATAGAGAAAGATGTAATGAATAGTATCCTGGAATGTACTTTGTCTCATTATAATTGTATTCTTTGTACAAAAAAGAAAAGTGCAAAGGACTTTTCCACTTAACAGTCGGTTGACAGAACAATCTGAGGCACATTCGTTTTCTAGTCCTCTTAGGTATAAGCATTGAGCTTTCAGTTATTGCCCCTGGAAACATTTCTCAGTCGATTCTGCTGTGGTAGATAGATAATTGCTCAATGTGAGAATTTTAGTGCTTCTTTGATTGTAATAAGATGATAGTTAACCCTGCGAGTGAGGTTATGTTTTCCATCTGTTCATTAGCAGGACTATGCAAAAAATGATGTTTGGGGACTGTTATTTATGAGTTTGTGCGATTTGCTACAGATCCAGATACAAATCCTAATGTAAGGAATTAAAATGTGGTTTCATGAGGGGACTGTTGGGCCTTCATTCAGCTCTCAACTGAGTGCTATTCACGTTACACGTTTTTTTCCAGGTTTGCACTTCATTCAGGTTTGTAGCAAGTATACAGTATAATTCCCAAAAAATAAAAAATATATATTTCTATACTAGTAAAGCTGCGATGCTTACCTTGATCAGCTAGTGATAATGGCAGCAGCAGTATCAGTAGTAAGGGAAGCATTGTGATTCCTCTGAATGTGGGACCAACAGAATGAATATAAGTCTCTCAGTTTTACATTTGAAATCATCTATAAAACTATTTACAATGATAGATTCATTAAATCAAAGTATTTTGACAGTAAAATCACAATAATACCTCAACTATGTGATAATAAATGAATAAAAGACTTACATGAACACTCAGTGGACACAGAGTCGTCCTCTTCTTACTCCTGAAGTAAACAGCGTGAATCTGACAAACATAAGCTAGTGATGCTCATGACCTGAGGCTTTACATAAAATACAATAGTGCCTGTGTAGAGCCATTTATCACATGCAATATTTCTTTATGAGGGGGCAACAATATTACTGAAGGTGAGTTTGTGTCATTTCTCTATGTCAACAGAAATATGACATCATGTAAAAACACTATGATGCTCTTGTTAAATATAACATTTATTTTAAGATACTATGCACACACTGTCATTGCAATAAATATATTTATCAGGACCATACAGAATTACAGAGAAACCCAACCATTCCCACAATGAGCAAGCATTGGCAACTGCAGAGAGAGAAAACATCTTACTTTCATTAGTACATCTTATCAACTTCTATATACCACGTTCTTGTAAAAAAAACATGTTCTACTTTTTTTGCCCAATGGATGGATAAATAAAGTGTAACCACAACAGGGTATGTTTATGAAAAAACTTTAAAACTGAATGGAAACTATATAGATATTTAATATTTTCGTAATTAATATTAGAACAAAAAGGTTTTAGATCTGCTTCATGTTTCAGTATTACACTCACAAACACACACGCACACACAAATGTCTTGCGATATCATGAGCTGGGTGTGGCCTTAGCTGCTGGTGGTGTTTGTTGTGCTCACAGATGCTGAGTTTCTGTTCTTTCTCCAAGACATCACAAACCACAGTAAGATGAAGACACCTGTGTGAGTCAAAGGAGGGAAAAGAGAAGTGAACAGGCACACGATGATATGACCCAGGTATGATACAAATAATTCAGCTGTGCCACATATAAACAATCTAACTGTGGCATGTCAGGCCACAGTCAAATCATGTATTTTTAGAGTATGCAACATGAATTCATGTCGATGCAGGTGAGTCTTCTAGTGAACAGATTTTTTCCCAGTAATAACATCAGTTTGCACCAAGTGTAAATGTCCACACTCTGAATGGTTCACGATCCCGAGACTTTGACCTTTTACTTTATGACACAAATGTTATCCTTGCTCTGCCCAGTAAACATCCAAAGCTAAAGTGGCCTGTATGGTCCGGAGTGGAAAACAGTTCCTGCTCTACAGTAGTCGTTGAAGTCACACACTGCTGTGCCTCATCCTGAAGTCACCTGATGAACATCCCTCTATTATATGGGGACAACTTACAGAATATGCCCTTTTCTGTCATATTTGCAGTAACATCACCCTGTAATCGAGCATGTGGACACTGGTTGTGCTGACCTTGCAGTGAGTTCAGGATGCAGAAGAGGTAGAGGCCAGCGGTGGACAGGTAGCCAAACGAGAAAAAGATCAGGCCCCAGGTTATCCCGAGCAGAGTGGTGACACCCATCAGGGTACAGATGTCTTTCTTGGCTCTGTTATAGTTACTCTGTCAAATGATAACCAATCCGAAACTACCAGTTACAAACCATGAAGTGTTTGTAGTCTGGCAGGATGAACAATAAAAACTGAGAATAT